GTGTGTGTGTGTGTGTGTGTGTGTGTGTGTGTGTGTGTGTGTGTGTGTGTGTTTCTTTGCAGTTTTAATCTATTGGTAAGGCTGGTTTGGAATACAGAGCGCTATTGTGACTTCCTGATGCATATGTGTTCTGTGCCCATGGTCCCATGGGTGGCCATCTACATGATGCTCCGGCCTCCTCTGCACACCGTAAGAGTCCACTAATGACAGATTTATCGCAGCCTGTATCCACCTAGGCATGCTGACCTTTCCTTGCTCCTCCCAACTGTACATCAACTTACAAGTTCAGGAACGAGGAGACTGGGGATAACTGTGATCAGTTTCTGCTACAGCTCCTTAGGGCTGCAGTAAAGCACAGGAATTGCCCATGGGTCAGCTTGGTGGATACCAGGGGCTAGGTTGGTGAATGGCCATTGGCTCAGGGAGGGATCTGCAGCAAAAATGAGGCCCCCCAAGAGCAGACAGTGCTTACCATGGATCCAAACGGAAGGGGACAGTCACAAGAGGCCTTGAGGATATGTTGGGAAAAGTTCCATTACATGGTTGGGATACGAAGTCTCCCCCAAATTCTTACACACTGAGGGCCTGGATTCCAATAGAGCCAAGTCCAGAGGTGAGGACTCCAACTACACCAATGGTTCATCACTTGAAAGGTTCCCAATACACATCATTGCTGGGGATGATGGGCGCTTTGGAGCCCTGGGAGTCTAGTTGGCAAAGTATGCCTTTGAGGGGTACATCTGCTACGGGCCCCTTCCTTCTTCTCTCTGTATCTGCTTCCTTCCTACTGTAGTGCAAGGAGCTTCCTCCTCCATGCCCAGTGCCATGACATTCTACCTCACTATCCCTGCACAGAAATTGGCTAGCCAACCATGAGCAGAGAACCTCTGAAACAGCCAGTATAAATCTTCCCTCATTAAAATTGAAAGCTCATTGTTTTTGTCACAGAACCAAACACTGAGTAACATACCAGATTATAGAAATTGGGACAGAGGCCACAGGGAGTAACAAGGGTGTCTGTCCAGGGGGACACAGGGAAAACAGCAAAGAGGCAAATTGCTTGAGTACTTGGGAGGGGAGAAGAAGAATAGGAGAGGAAGGAGTACGCCTTCTGGAAGGTTCTACAAGTGTGCAGTGGAAAAGCATCTGTCCTGGGGAATTGAACAAGTGCTTTGCTAGTTATGTTCTTATAAAGCTGTGGACCCTTGGCTGGGAAGGTGGTTCCATCAGTAAAATGCCTGCCCTGAAGTCTAAAGACTTGAGTTTGGATCCTCAGCCTCCATGTAAAAGAATGCATGTGGTGGTACATCATATAATCCCAGCACGGGAGGAGTGGAGAGGAGGAGTCCTGGGATTGCTAGTCAGGCATCCTAACAGGTTCAGTGAGGGAGCCCATTTCAGATATATATAGAGATGATAGATAGATAGATAGATAGATAGATAGATAGATAGATACATACATACATACATACATACATACATACATACATAGATGGATAGATAGATAGATAGATAGATAGATACATACATACATACATACATACATACATAGACAGACAGACAGACAGACAGTGGAGAGCAAATGAGAAAGACACAGTGTCAGCTTCTGGCTTCCATATGCATGCACTTAAATATCCATATGCCCTAAAACACATGTGTACGCACATACACATAAAAATGTCACAGATCCTGTACTTCCCCTCCCTCCTTGTTCATTGGGGCTCCCTGACATCTCCCTATGGTTGTGTGGCATAATGATTCTACTATTCTGGATGATGCTGGTTCACAAATCCTCAAAAACATGAAACTGCATCCTTCTCATGAAGCTCACAGACCATTTTTCAGTGTAAGTCAATCTTAGAATTAATAAAGTGACTTGAGAGAGTTATGAGAAGATATTAACTCGTTCAAGTTGGAGGATCCAGCAGGAATTGGTAGTGTGAGGCAGAGTCTGTGCTCTTCATCTACTTGCTCCAGCAAGCAGCATTTAAAGTTGAGTGTTAATTGTTTGGCTTAAAAGTGTAATTTATTTTTCACTGCTGAATTAGCAATACTTGGGCATATTATGCCTGCTTTAGTAAAGAGTGCAGAGTAGTTATGCTCTAGCTCGTGACTCTGCAAGGTTTGTGTTTGGAATCAGACGTGAACCATGTAAGCCAGCCAACCTGTAGGGACATGGCTGTTATCATATAAATTTGGCATCTGTGTTGAGCAATTTGGAAATTACTGCATTTTGTTTCATAAAATATGTGCATGCTACATTGATACCAACTGGATAGATTTTTCTACCTCAAGAAGCCAATGTATTTCTAACATGCTAAACTTAACTCAGTGTCCATATGTCTGTTGTTGTTGACTTTTTAAATACTGGGAGAATGAATTATAAATATGCAGGACGTATTTCTTACTTCTAAAACCATGGTATCGGAATTAAAGTGACTATGAACAGAGAGAAGAGTGATTGAAAACACAAGTGTTGATTCATGGAGGGCATAATAGACACACCAAGTATTAGAACCAGAGTTTGCAGCCTGAGTTCACCTCAGTGTCTCTCAGCTGCCTTCGGCAGTCCCATGAACCTCTTGAATTACGTGGTTCAATGGTACAGCCTATATGCTAAGCATATTTCAGAGTCCATGAGATAAATACACAAGTTCTTCAAAATGTACATAATATGCAAAAGGCAGATGAGTTGTTTAGTTTTGAGTTCAAAATGGCCTAATCCTGGACATAGAAAAGAATCTGTAGAAATTAGTTAGTAGCCACAGGAGGGTAGCAACCTCACATTGCAGCTCCAGTCTCAGCCCTCAGTCCCTCAGGGGTTTGGTTTAACTTAATTTGGCCATTGTTAAAATCTGGTAAGGTGGGCCTGGCAAGAGGCTCAGTGAATAAAGGCACTTGCCCCCAAGTCTGAGGACTCAAATTCAAACCCTGAGCCAGACTATCATGATGGAAAGAGAGAATCAACTCTTGTTGTCTGTCCACTGACCTCCACAAGTGCACACACACACACACAAATTAATAAAAGTAATTAATTAAAAACTAATAATAGAAATCCAGTGCCTCCATACAGCAGGTGCACAGGAATTCTGGCTTCAAAGGCTATACACATCAGGACATGGTGGGGAAATAGAATGAACCTTGATGTCCTTTGACAAGAGTTAGCAGTTCATCATAACCAAAACAAATTCAGCAACTCCAGGAACATCAAGTTCTCCCTGTATCCGTGAAGACTCAGAGTCTGGTAGAGTGTCCCTTTTCCGATACACGGCAGAAGGTGGGGATCAGGAAAGAGACTACGTGGGGACTCCCCAGGCTATCTGCCCCTTCCAACCTCCCCTTAACAGAGCTGGAATGCTATTTCCTACACAGGCACCATTCCCCTCACCCTGACCGTAGTCAGCTACCCGGACACCCAAGCAATGGCAGCTATATTTCACAAATTGTCGATGATGTGGTCTCCAGCCTCCCTCCTGACCATGAGTAAAACCTTCCCCAAAAGGAAGCATAAAGCTTCTGGAATCTCAGCCCATTCTTCTACAGCCTCTGGGGAGCACAGTTGGGAGATTCGCTGCTCCAGCCACACACACACCCTCCAGCTGCTGGCCTTCTCAGCCCAGGGAACCACCCTGGTTGTCTATCTTTGCTCCTAGTTCACTAAATGCTGGTGCTACCGCTCCACATGCATCGGATTCTCAGTCAGTGTTGCTGAGTCTTGTAGGGTTCTAGACAGTTTTCTCTTTGCCTTCCCTTGTCTTACTGTAGCAGGACCCACCTGCGTCAAGTGGATTCTGAGTAGTGGCCACAAATGCAAGCAGGGCCTGATCATAGCATAGGATCAAGAAGTATGCTGTGGGTGGGATAGGAAGTCCCTCCCAGAGCCTTGTGGGTTGAAGGCTGAGGCTCCAGGTATCATTTTGGGAGATGCTGGGAATTTTAGGAAGTAGGAGTAAGCAGGAGGAAGTTGATCGCCAGGGAGGGTCTTTGGCGGTATCTTACATCTGTCTCCTTTCTGGGTCTCTGGCCTGCTTCCTGGCCCCAATGACGGGAACCTTCTTCTGTTCTACTGTGCCCTCTCCACCATAATCAACTGAAAGTCTTCAAACAGTGAGCAAAATCACCCCTTCCTGCTTTACCTTGTTTCTGTCTCATTTGGTCACAAGAACGATGGAGCTAATCTAAGGCAGGTATTTGTGTTTAGACACCGGGATCATGGTTTTTCTGGGAGCTATGCCATAACCAGACCTCTTTTGCCGCCCATTATTTTTTCATG